CTAAGTTTTCCACATGAATCTATATTACTTTTTCAATAAAGAAATGCTTACTAAAAAGAAATACACAATGTGCAGTGAACTAAAATCTTGAAAACATAAAGATGTACTCTGGCCAAAAGAAAGAAATTCTTTCCACTTGTTTACAAAGTAAAAGGTCCAATACACAGATGTGTTCATCAGCTTCCCGGACACTCCTCAAATTCACATGTGCTTCTGCCACAGGCTCATGTGAAACTTAGGAAACTATTTAGCTATCAGCACAAAAACAGATTAACAAAATAAGGCAAACTAGGGAACTCTAAAAGATATAGAATAAATTTATTCCTATTATTTCTTTATTTAAGTAGGCCAGAATTAAACCTGCTTGACAATTTTAATAAACCTCAAAAGTGATTTAAATGCTTTGCAAAGGAAGTGCTCTGAAAAGATTTAAATAAAACTGTCCTTTTGAAACATCTTCAGAAATATAGTCATGTACAACAGATGAAATATGTGTTGTGGTCAGAACAGGCTACATGATATAGCCTAAGCATACAGTAGGCTATACCATCTAGGTTTGTGTAAGTACACTCTATGACGTTTGCACAATGATGAAATCGCCTAATGATGCACTCCTCAGAATAGATCCTCATTGTTAAGGGATGCATGACTGTATTTTATTAGGCAACAATTTAGCTTCAGTTGAATAGACCACTATAACTGTACAATATATTTTCCAAATATTTTATTAATTATGGCATGTAAAAATCTGACAATTTACCCTATTTTAATAACATTACAAAGAATTACCTTTTAGTCTTTATATTTTTTCCAATCGCTTCACTGAAAACAATCCCAAGAAAAACTAGATTCTTCTAAAATTAATTTTCACTAATGATCTTTATTTTTATTAATTTATTTTTGAGACAGGGTCTTACTCTGTCACCCAGGCTGGAGTGCAGTGGCATGATCTCGGCTCATTTAAACCTCTGTCTCCTGGGTCAAGTGATCCTCCTACCTCAGCCTCTGAGTAGCTGGCACTACAGGTGACCACCACCACATCTGGCTAATTTTTTTGTATGTTTTTTGTAGAAACGGGGTTTCCCCATGTTCCCCAGGCTGGTCTCAAACTCCTAGCTCAACCAATCTGCCCGCCGTGGCCTCCTTAAGTGCTGCTTTACAATCATGAGCCACTGTGCCTGGCCTTTTTTCACTAATAATCTTTAAAAGGGTAAAAACAATGTAAGGAAATTCTAAATAAGAAGTTTAGTAAGCAGGCCTACACAGCTCCAAAAGACAACATGTAAGAAATCCACATACCGCAATAAATACCTCCAACTGCTCATCAGGCTCACTGTCACCTCAAATGTAGCGCGCTAAGCATACAACCTAACCTACCATATCTTCCACCACCATATGCAATATTCCCCTCAAACAAATACTTTTCCTGACTTCCTTACTTCTGTGGTGGCATCAAGGCATCTGTCACAGCATTATCATATATCAGTCACTTATATGAGACACCTCCAGGTTCAGGTTCTCATTAGCTTCTGCCTGGATTATTTTAATAGTCTCCTGATTTGTCTCCCCAGCCTACCAGCCAGCTTATACACCACTTTAATCACACTACTACTCAGTTCAAGAATCTTAGACTGAATTTTATCCCAGGAGCAGTAGAAAGCAAACCCTTTACAATGGCATTCAAAGTCTTTCTCTAATCTTATCTTCTGCTTCTGTTCAATGTGAACGCTCTGCAATCAGGCTGAACTATCACCAACTCCTATTAATGACTTGCTCAAGCTGTCCTCCCACCTCACTTTGTCATTCTCCCAGCGTGCTCCACTGAAATGCCAATGTAGTTTTCAGTAACCATTACAGTTGTAAATAAACTCTTCTGCTTTAGAATTTCAACAACACTCACATATTATCTGATCCATTGTTTGGGCACTAAGTCATACTGCCTTCTACTGTCAAGCAATTATACATCTATGATCTAATTTCATTAAAGGTAATTCCTTGTGAATACTTATATTTATTGTACTTCTCACAACCCCAGATGGAGAGCTATTAACAGAAATACGGTAAATGCTCAACTAATATTTGGCAAACAATAAATAATCTACATGTTTAGTTGTTCAAAGCCAAATACATTAATATATATCAAATATATATTACATATATACCTATATTTGGCTCTATATGTATATCTATCTTTCTATCTATCTATATGTAATTTTCTGTGTGCCTCTAAGGCTTTTCTGTAGCAAGACGAGTATTATTTTATATAGGTTCATCCATCAGGGAATCTCCAAGCCCAATCCTAAATTTGGTGATTCATTAGGGCTCACAGGACTCAGCATACAGTCTTATTCATGACTAAGATTTTTCACAATGAAAAGATACAAAGTTGAATCAGCACACACTTAGTTTCTCCAGCATTAAATTGTGACGTGCTGTCTACCAGGGAAACTCATTAGACTCAATGCCCAAGAATTTTATTAGGGATGGTCAAGTAGGCTGCCTAGCAAGGACCAAAATTCCAGACGGAATTGAGCATAAACTACTCTGCACAGCCTAGGCACAGTGAGCCATTCTTATATTTAGGTAAAGTTTTGCATCATGTATGGAACCATTTACCATTCAAGCTCCCAGATGCCAGCCAAGGGCCAGCCTTGTATGTAGGCCTTTCTACGAATAGCAGTCTTGGGCCTGCTATGTTACCTCTTTTCTAATTCATTTCATATTTGTACGGGAGAAATGTTACAGTGTTAACTGTACCTGATTTTTAATGGGCACATACAGCAATTTTTAAAAAATTAAAATCTAGCATTCAATTAGAGATGCACTGCCTTGACTGGCACCCACTAATGAAAATTTCTGTGATTTTGAAATAATTGACTTCCTTTAGATATTTCAGATTTTCTTTCTTTTCTTGTAAAATGAGGTCTTTCCCTCAAACCAACAATTTTGGAGTTGTTAAGATAAAGGAATCAAATATAACATCTAAAGCAAATGGATCTTCTTGGAAGAGTTCCTGGTCTCCTCTTTAAATGCCATCTGGGTGCTACAGCAATGCTTGGGTGTTCTGGGCACGTCATCTCACCAAATCCTCACAACACCACAACAGTGATGGTTTCTATTTTAAATACGGAAGTTTTGAGACTCTAAGTAACCCATCCAGGTTTACCACGGTGGACTGGGGTTTAGGCTTAGACCCACTGCATTCCAAACCCTTGCTCTTAGCTTTATACCAATGATCTTTACCTAACGTCAAAGGCACAGTCATTTCCCTCATACTATATGGCTTTTGGGTTTGGCTATACAGACCACTATTCAGACCTGATCAAAATCTTGGCATTGCACTTACCAGCTGAGGGGACCCCAGGAAAGTTAGTTATGCTTTCTGAGCCTCAGTTTATCTACAAAATGAGACCCCTACCTTATAGACTTGCTGTGATAATTAAATAATATATTTGGAAGCCAACACATATTTGCTGAATAAATGACTGCCTACAATGACAGAATAACTGACTTGTGAGAAGGGAAGTAAGCCAAATCAACGTAACTGAGGTAGGAAGGAAGCCGTAGACAAGTACCCTGACCACCAGGTGTCACCACTGGCCCAGGAGCACCTGTCTAACTGCCGGGCCTGGGGGTGGGACCCTGCAGCAAAAAGTCTAGGCCTCAGGGTAAGACTGTCATTTGCACCAACAGGACCTTCATGAATTGGCTTAGGCTTTTCAACAAGTAAGAGACGGTCCAATATTTTTTTGCACCAAAATAGGTCACATTCTTCTTTTACAGGTGTTTAAAATATTAATTAGCTGAATATTCACAGATGCATCACCACAGTTTGATTTTAAAAACCATTTTCAGTGAACTATTAATTTCATATATCCTTTGGTTTAGCCAACTAGACATTTTCTGGCTTCCATAGGCTTCAATATTGCCCCAGCAGACAAGTTTCTAGCCCCAATTCCACAATCCAGTGACACTATTTCCTTATTAATGGGATGACTGAATTTTTTTTTTTTAAGTAGAATATTTTTAGGGCAAAAACAAAGTCTAAGACCAGTATATACGGGCAAAATAAACATTAACTTAAAACTGTTCTTGATCTCAGGAACTCAAAAGTTCATTTTAAAAAACTGTTTTATATATATATATAGAAATATATATATATATATATAGAAATACATATATATATAAAAATATATATATATATAGAAATATATATATATATTTCAAAGAACGCACCTTAGGGTACATCTGGCAACCTGTGAGTAGCTCTGAAATTACTCAAGAAACACTGCCACACGTGGCTTCATTCTGTAACCTGCTAATGCCTCTCTCTGGGAGTGCCCAGGGGCTCATTTCAGAATGAGGGCAGGGCCTGGGCTCCCCGTCTGGCTCTAAGTCCCCCACACCGAGACCCACTAGTGGTCACTTCAAGACTAATTCATCCAGCATTAGCGCGTAACTGGAGACACCGATCTCTGATGAGGCACAGACCGTAGTCTCGTCTGCCAGGAGCACCTGACTTAAGCAGCCTGGCCAGGCCTACTACCCCAGCCTCAGACTGGGTGGCCAAGTACCCCTGTAACCTACCAGGGAGAAGGAATGGTGCTAAGCACAGGTTTCTGTTCAGAGAGCTGAGCTCTTGGAACTCCAGCAGTTTGGGTTATTTTTGTTTTTGTTTTAAAGCTCAAGTTCTACTTTGCATTTCACAAATATGGAAATGTCTTAAGAGAAACCAGAAGCATCCTCTCCCTCTGGCCATTGCTCCCATTCCTGGAGGATTTGGGAGGGAAGAGCAGATACCAGCACCATCTGGAGTCAGGGGCGCAGAGCCAAGGCCAGTTGAGGTGAACCCATTTGCAAAGCACTTTGCAGATCAATAAATTCGACTGATTTCAGAGCGGTCTCTAGGAAAGGCGAGCAAATGGGCCAAGGAGAGATGCTGCCCATCCAACAAGCCTGGCCAAGAAGCCAGGGGCGAGGCGGCGCGGGGGACGAGTTACCTGGAGGACTCGGCGGTGAAGCTGCCGCCGTCCAGCAGCCGCATCTTGCAGAAGAGGACCCCATTGACGAAGGGCACCGAGGAGAGCTCCTCGAGCTCGAAGTCCACCTTAAACTTAAACTTCTTCTTCTTCATCATCGTGAGAGCCAGGCGCCTGCCAGCAGGGCGCACTGCCAGGCGCCGCCGCCTCAGCTCAGCCGAGCCCCGGATCCGCCCAGCCCCATGGCCTGGGCCGCGAGCTACGCGCGGGGGCGCAGCCGGGGGGCGCCGCAGGCCGGCCGCGGCCGGGGCCGCCGCCGCCGCCGCCGCCGCCGCCGCCGCCCCCTCTCGCGGCAGCCTGGGCCGGAGCGCGGCGGCAGCTGCAGCGCAGACCCCAGCCGCCCGTGAAAAATGGTCGTGCTGCAGCTCGCCTGGGGAGGTGGGCGCCCTTTCGGTGCGCAGCTCGCCACCGCCGCTGCCGCCCGTCTGAGAGCCTGCAGAGGCGAGGCTCGAGGTACGGCCGACTAAGCGCCTCGGGGTTCCGGGGCGCCCCCAGCGGCCGCGGCCTGCAGTGCGCCGCGGGGCGGAAGCGGGAGGGAGGGCGGAGACTTGTGGGAGGGCGCGGGCTCCCGCGCGGACTCTTAACACGAGACGGCAGTTAGCGCGTAACGTTTTTCTGGGGTTGAGAAAAGACAAACCCGACGGAGAAAGCTTCCTTCTACCGCTTCCTCTCCGCCTCTCTTTTCAGTTTTTGCACCGCCTCCTTTCTCCCCACCCCCTCCAGTGATTTCTTTCCTTTGGGTTTGAAAGCCATGGATTCACAGAGGCAGTTAAAATCTCAGCGCTGTTTTGGTCAAATTGAAATCCTAAAACCAACATTTCCTTTAGGTACTCCAAATTCACGAGCCTTCAAATATAAAAGGAAGACAAGGTAGGAAAAAGGAAAAGGATGTGGTGAGGGCCTCCCAAGTGCCCAGGCACTGCACTGCTGCAGGCGCTTTCTCTGGTGTACAGCTTGTCTAATTCCTGTCATCCAGGACGAAAGATAAAAGAGCAAAGAAGCAGTTAAAATAATACCTTCCCTTTGAATATTTGTCTATACTGAGAACTGAAATGCTTAAAATCAAATTCTGCAGGGAGTCTGGGGTGCTGGCGCACGCCTGTAATCCCAGCTCCTCAGGAGGCTGAAGAGGGAGATTAGCCTGAGCCCGGGAGGCGGAGATTGCAGTGATCCGAGATGGCTTCACTGCACTCTATCCTGGGCAACAGAACGGGACCCCCCCCCCAAAAAACAAAACAAAACAAAATCTTCAGGGTAGGCTTAAATAAAAAAAAAATGTCCTTACGTAGGTGAGTAACAATTACCTGCCTTCTGTAATCAGGCATATATTGTTATAATTAATGTTATAAACTTGGTTACATGATGTTCATATTTTTAAACTGAGTTACTGTTCTTTTCACTCAGATTCTGTTTCAGTAATTGCTGAACGAGTTTAGTTGAAAAGACTTTCTGTTTACTTATTTACTCATGCTTTCATATAAAAAATTTAAAACGTCAATCATTGGCTAGACCTAATAACCAAAAAGCAATAACTACCCTCAAGAATTTTACAATCTAGTGAGGAAGACATGTTTAGACAGGTTATTAAAAAAACAGAACCTATGTAGAACTCAGAGAAACAATTGAAGTTAATCAGTTTTCTGAATTTCACAGGATGAAAATGATTTAGGACAAAGTGGGATAAGGTGTTCTAGGAGGAAGCGACAAAATAAATAAATAAATAGTTAAAGACTCAGAGGCATAAAGACTCAGAGGCAGGTTCAGGGGTGGGGATTTGGTAATGGATAAAGCTCCTTACCCTGCTGGACAGGGGGCAAAGACAGTGAGATGCATTAGAGGACTTTGAGGTTTGTCTTTTAGGGCACTGGATGAATGTTAATTTCATTGACTGAACATTGAAAGCAGGAGGAGAGCAGGTTGGGAATGGAAGAGATAATGGGTCTTTATGGGAGTTGCTTTCAGTACATATAGGGAGAGCGAGGCAGCCTTAGCTCATAAAAACGCACTGGGAATTAAAAATCTACAGCTGGGAATTGAGGTAATTGCTGATGGCTGAAGCCCAAAGGGTGGATAAGGATGAGTTACTCTGAAGAATATTTAAAGGGTAGACAAAGAGGAGATCATGAAGGTGGCTAAGGACAAGCAGTCAGAGAAAGAGGAGATAAAGAAAGAGATGGCCTGGAAACCCAAGAGAGTTTTAGTCATGTAACATTCCTAGTCACAAGGTTCTGTTGTGTACCAGGCACTATCCTGGGTACTAGAGATGCAAATGCGTAAGACATAGGGGCTTATAAAGAAGTGGAGAAAAAACAGATATGCAAACAGATCAGCTACTCATTAATTGCCCCTCACTCCCAGTTGTGTTAATCAAAAATATCTTCAGACATTGCCTAATATCTCCTGGGGGACAAAATCATTCTTAGTTGAGAATAACTGGGTTACAGGACAACTTGGAATTATATTCAGATCTGAGGGAGAATCCTGTGTATTACGTGGGAATCCTGCACTTTGAACTTGATGCAATGACTGGGTAGATTTTAGGTTATCTCATTTGGTGACAGAATTAGTGTATTATTTGTTTGGGAAGAAGAGTGAAATGGCTTTTTTTGGTGACCAAATGGATGGACTATGGCATAGAGTACTAGGTTATCACCAAAGCCATTTTCTTGAGTACACAGTTTGACTATATTTTCCAGTCTTCCTTGCAATCAGGTGCTGCTGCAAGGCTCAGTTCCAGCCAGTGGAATGTGTGCAACTTCCAGGCCTGGCCCATAAAAACCTCTTGCATGTGATCCTTTCACTCTTCTCCCATCTGATGGCTGGATGTTGACATCAAGGATGATGCTGGATGCCGGATGTGGAAGATGGGAAAGCCTCTACCTGTCTGGGTCCCTATTGGCAATTTATGACCAGGATATCAGTTTGTGAGGTAAGTGAAAAATTAGCATTTAATTTTCTGTGTGTGATTTTAAAAATTACTATTTTAAAAGATTGTGGAAAAATACATATTACATAAATTGATCATGTTAACCATTTTTAAGTGTACAGTTCTATGGCATTAAGTATAGTCACATTGTTGTGCAACCATCACCTCCATCCTCCTCCAGAAGGGGATCCTCCTCCATCCTCTTCTCATCTTGCAAAATTGAGATTCTGTACCCATTTCACAATAACTCCCCATTCCCCCAACCCCAGACCCTGGAAACCACTGTTCTACCTTGTGTCTCTATAAATTTGACTACTCTATGAATGAAATCACACAATATTTGTCCTTCTGTAATGGGCTTATTCACTTAAATGTTTAATCTTTTAAGTCACTGGAATTTGGGATGTGTTTGCGATAACAGCTAGAATTACATACTGTGTGCCTAGAACAGACTAGATCCTCAAATAAATGTTTGCCAAGTAAGTGAACATTTAAAAATTGCTAATTTAAAACATATTTTTAGGACATTATATTGGATTTAATTTGCAAATTTATATTGTTTTATAATAATATAAAATTTGTAAGGTATTGAACTTTATGTGTAATATACATTTAGGTAACATTATAACTACAATAATTTAAATCAGCAGCAGGAGTCCATGACTTTTTTTCCCCTATAGATAATTTATTTTTGGGAAACATGCTATATTGGGTTGTTTGAAAAAGCTTATATTCTAACAAAATGGAATCAAATACTTGCTTTAATTTTCCATTGCCTAAAACCAAATTTGACTAGAGTTATTGAGGATTAAGAGAATGACATAGGAGCTTGAATAATTACATTCCCAGCCAAGCAAAAGGTTTTCGTTTTACATCAAAGGAAATATGACAGTTAAACAAACCAAAACTCTCTTCGGTCCTGTGGTTGAATAGGGGTGTTACTGATACCTAAGTACTGACATTTTATCATCTTGATTGCTAGTCTGTCTGACAGGAGAATAAAGGCTTTCAAGGAAAGAACCAGATACTTTCTAAGGTACCTCCTTTAATTCTAAAACTTAATCTCTTTCAAAACTAGTTCTTTTTTATCTAATTTTCAAATTTCTATGAAAAGATGGCAAATTGCCTTTGTAGTTCTTAAAAGCAAACACTAGACTACTTTTCTATGAGAAACCACAATATTTATTCATTAACTTTTTTCCAGTCCAAACATAGAGTGGATCAAAATGTGTTCTTTGAGCAATTGTAATATCCCTGAGAACCCTAGACTGATAGCATGCAGGGGATCTCAAACTCAATTTGGCACCCCTTCCTTGCTTCCTTCACATTCTAATGTTAGGATAGTTATGAGGATGATCACTTCATATAATTATTCCTGTATTATCAAGCAGAATTGGATTTCTCTTTCTGGGAAATACTAAATACTAATTCTTGTAGGAAATTAGGCTTTTTCTCTGACAGCATTTTAGAAAATACTGATGCTGGCTGCTGCGACGAGCAGGTGCGGGGTGAGCAGGGTGCCACTGGCTGCTGGGGTCTGCAGGTCACCGAGCCCCCAAGAGAGGGGACTCCTGAGGCGGCACCTGCCTGTGTTTACCCAGCAGCCAGCGCGTCTGCCCCCGCGAACTCCCGGCAGAGCTCAGGAAAGGCCGTTGGTCCCCGCGAGGGAAACAGAGCCCTTGACCATGGTTGCAACTGGCAGTTTGAACAGTAAGAACCCGGCCAGCATTTCAGAATTGCTGGACCGCGGCTATCACCCAGAGAGCCTGCTAAGTGATTTTGACTACTGGGATTATGTTGTTCCTGAACCCAACCTCAACGAGGTAATATTTGAGGAATCAACTTGCCAGAATTTGGTGAAAATACTGGAGAACTGTCTGTCCCAATCAAAGCAAACCAAACTTGGTTGCTCAAAGGTCCTTGTCCCAGAGAAACTGACCCAGAGAATTGCTCAAGATGTCCTACAGCTTTCCTCCACGGAGCCCTGTGGCTTGCGAGGTTGTGTTATGCATGTGAAGTTGGAAATTGAAAATGCATGTAAAAAGCTGGATAGGATTGTGTATGATTCTAGCGTGGTGCCTACTTTTGAGCTTACACTTGTGTTTTAGCAGGAGAACTGCTCGTGGACTAGATTCAGGGACTTCTTTAGTAGAGGTCGCTTCTCCTCTGGTTTCAGAACTCTGATCCTTAGCTCAGGATTTCGACTTGTTAAGAAAAAACTTTACTCACTGATTGAAACAACAGTCATTGAAGGGTCCTAAAAAGGGAACATTTATAAAGGTTATTTCATGATTGGGTAGTGAAACTATTCAGCTAGTCAGCTAAAGTTATTTATACTTTGCCCCACCTACCCTCAGTAAGAAACCCCAAATGTAGTTCATTTTCTTTTTGTGTTTCACATTCATAGCAACTGCAGCTAACAGGCTGATTTTCTGGCCTTTGGAGAAATGATCCAAAATAGTGTACATTTTCTGCATATATCGCATTTTTGTAGAGAATTGAATGA